GTTGACAGGCCGTGCTTGTATGTATGGAGTGTGTGTGTGCTTTAAAAGCTTATCTCAGTAAGCAAAAACGAAACTGTTTAAGACCAATTACCTGTCCTTCACGTCGTTTCTTCTTTCGCTCAGCGATTGCAGCTTTGCCAGTTTTCATCTCACCAGTACCAACGGCGACCGATTCGTCTTCATACTGCGCTGTGAAATTTAACTCTTCACGTTTGAAATGCTGTGAGAGCGACCAGATCTGCAACAAAATAGTGCATTACGTCAAAAGGGACATCACTTCGAAGTTTAATAATATTCCATGCAACTCAAATTTTTGCGTCCCTTTTTTCGACTTTTGAGCATTGACTACTTAGACACCATTCATCACGACCCTGTCTTATTTTGCTTTCGGATTCTGTACTAATGGAAATTCCAGTGCTATTGTTCCTGGAACATCTACCTGTGTAACACAGGAAGGCTGCCATCGGGTGGTTTGAGAAAACGTGTAATAACACGTTTCCAACATCTATTTTAGGAAAACCAGAGAAAAAAAGCAGAGAAACAAAAGTCAAAATACCAGGAGCTGACTAAAAGACGATGCTTTTTTTAATCACAACAGCCACGTAAATTCTGGCAGCTAAGCGGGTGGCTTAAAAATGTGATACGATGAAGTGACAGCTGATTATACTGTTATAATAAAAATCCTGTAAGAAAACTATTCTGGATACATCCTTGGATGCGTGCCTGCCTCACATTTTTTAAACTTGTGCCAAGAAAAATTACCTTGAAAATAACAGCAACATTTTCGTAGACACCATCTGTTTCCCAGGACGGGGTTTTTAGCCACTGCGCACGATGCAGATCCGTATATTTCATCAAAATTGGAAAATATGCGTAGACGTCGCGAACAAGCCGCGCATTGTCCTGAAATTTAGAACGTCATTTTTGTTTAATTTATGAAGTATCAGCAGTATGTAGCACTTTGGCTCAGAATCCTATTTCAATAAAAAATCAAATAAAAACATCAACAAAAATCATTTTTGATACTTCTTCCAAAAAGAGAGCATTTAAGTAGACGAATGACAGAAATTACTACACAGACATAAATCTTTTCATGATGTGTCTCGCTGAAAAAAGAACTTGAAAAAAATCTGTGGAAATGCGAACCTCAGCAACGGTGCCTTCATCTGCATCATCCGGATGCGTGCGCATGTGTTCCTCATCCTTGTATGCTTTTTCGGCCAATCGACGGAGCCGTTCGGCTACCGGAAGCATGTAGTCTTTGACAGGATCACAGCTCACATAAGGAATAATTTGAACGGAGAAGAAATTGATTCGACACAGCCAGGAAGCATTCTCGACACCAATATGGTTGCGTACCATCTGGAGCAGTGCTTTGAACGTACGATTGATGTGCTCGCTGTCCACGTCAGTCACTGGTACACTGAAATGAATAAGCTGCTTGTGGACATAGTAATCAATTTCACAGACGGATCCACGGCAATCTTCGGGAGGTGCGGAAGAGAGTTTTCTTCAGTTTTAGTTTTAAACCCGGGCCTTTGTAGCAATGCTATCTATGCCGAAAGACCCGTCGCACTTACCCCATGAATGCACCTGTAATCAATTTTACTCAAACTGAAGCTAGTTTTTCGCGTCTTATCATTTTCAAGATGAGGCACTTAGTCAGTAAAATAATTCATCGAAGTTAGAAGTGACGACGCTCCAGATGAGATCGTAATGTTCAGGACACATCAAGGACATCCAAAACGGGCAAGGCCTTGTCAAGTACTTTGGTTGAGAGAACCGTTGAGCTGAATTAATCCCCTCAGAAGATGGAACAAATGCCAAAATCGTTGCAGATCCCTTATCTCTTACTTCATAACCAATAGATGATGCAACATGGATTAAAGAACTGGAAAAGTTGTAAACTTCACAGTTCAAAAATTAAACCACGAATTGCTGTTGAACTCACTGCTTTTTAGCATGCGATTTGGGTAAATAAAAATACATTACCAGCCCGTTCTGACTGCTCTGAAAGCTAACAGAAGCAACTGTGGAACATATCAACTTCATAAGTTGTAGTACAAACTTCTCGTTACTTATATGGCATAGAGTAGATAAGGGACCTGGCCAAATATCACGTGCAAGAAGATATGCTTAGATGTAGTTTGTGTTTCATCCCTTAACTGTGAAGCGCGGGCCAAACACAACGTGCGGGTAGGAATGGGAATCATCAGTATTAAATTGTAGTAACTGGTTTATATTAAAGCCATGTCTTCATCGCAAACCTTTTAGAGGAGCGACGTGCTCTCTTGGATATTCATGCCACCATAAAACAAATTAAATGATAACTTCAATCCTTTCCATGAAGCAAAATTGTTCATCTAAAATTTACGTCACCTAAGCCTAATGGAAAAAGGCAAGCAAAGCTGCTTACGGAGATCTGTTGGTGCTGTCCGGTCCCAGTGGCCACCAGTATGTAAGATAAGCGCAAATAAGCGGTAAATCAACGTCG